CTTTAAAAGTTGCCACTATACACTCTTTATGGCTAAACTTACAAACACAGTCTAGATCTGTAACTTTTACAAACTATGTCTTACTTTCACTTTCATTCACTTAACTTCTTCATTGTATCTGTGCGTATTTATAACACACGACAGAAAAATCTAGAAATATCTAGCCCTCTAGTAACAACATAATTCAGATAATAAGAAACACCTAGAAGCTTTCAAGTATGATGATGTCAACAATATTACAGAAGCCTAGTACAACAATGAAACTGTATACAGAATGTATGAGTCCTACAGAGTTACGTAACAAAACTTGTCATAACTATCGTTTTTAAAATAATTAACTTTTAACACACTTGTCATGAAAACTAAATAATCATTACATCTTAAATCACTAAATAAATAACTAATAACTTTTAAACTAAACAGTCTTGTATATCCAACAGACATAATATGCATAAGGACAGTTGTAGTGGTGGAATGAAATAAACAAGATAGTGTTCAAGCTAAAAATAAAACAATTTGTTGAAAAAACACTGAAGAAAAAAAACCGTTCACTTAGAATAGTTATTGTGAAATAATAAAGTTAAAATGTAAGTTAAGGAATAGGAAAGTTAGCTGTATTTTAATAAATACTATTAATAAAGGAAAACTAAAAACACATGATCAGCAAGCTGAAGAATATGAAGTTTTATGAAAATTCAACTGTTTCTCTTCATCTTTCATGCTTATGTGTCTAGTTTTGCAAATAGAATATCAAGACCAGCTAGTGTAACTTCAGTTGTGAAATTATTCACAATATTTTATTTATGGTATAAACAAAATTGATTTGTTAAGAAATACATAATGTTTGGAATTTTGGACACTTTGTTTGTATATGTACAAAACTGTTACTTGTGTGATTACATTTGTTTACTTTTGTTGCAGTATGATGCTGAGACTGGCTTCAGAAGTTCCCATCCTAGAAGATACTCTAATGAGAATATTAATTATTGGACTTTCCAAAGAACATCCGTTGAATGCCTCAGATACCTTGGACCTTGTCGATCAACTGCTCAAGCGTGTAGGTTCAATATCTATAGAAGGTGAGAAAGTTTTGTTTTAACTAGTCTAGTTAAAACAAATCTTTCTTACCTTCTTTAGATATTGAACTGGAATATTTTATCTCTAGTTAAAACATCTTTACCTTCTTTACATATTGAACTGGAATATTTTATCTCTAGTTAATATAAAAATTTCTCACCTTCTATAGATATTGAACTGGAATATTTTATCAAAAATTTCTCACCTTCTATAGATATTGAACTGGAATATTTTATCTTATTTTAACTAGAGATAAAATATTCCAGTTCAATATCTATAGAAAGTAAGAAAGTTTTTTTTTAAGAGAGATACCCTTCTTATATTTTAAAGTTTTTAATTATTGTTTATTACTTCTTGTATTTATACTAAAACTTTTACTTAGGTATTTATTTTAATTGAAAAAGTATGCTATATTTTCAAGATGTTTTGTAACTTGATTCAGGTACAGGAGGTTTTGTACATCTTTTGTTTTTTTAGGATATCCTGTTTTGGAGCTACAGATTCAAGAGATTTTTGATCTTATTTTTAACTTATGTGCATACCATCACCCTGACAACATAAGTTTACCACCAGGGTGAGTAGAATTAAATTATTTTTAATCTTCTGTATTTTATTGAGTAAAGAACAATAATAGAGAAGTTTGGTGTTTTTAAGTCACCACAGTATCACAAAAACTTATATATAAGTGTGATGTTTGGTATCTTTAAGTCACCACAGTATCACAAAAACTTGTATATAAGTGTGAAGTTTGGTATTTTTAAGTCACCACAGTATCACAAAAACTTGTATATAAGTGTGAAGTTTGGTATTTTTAAGTCACCACAGTATCACACAAACTTGTATGGATTTGTAGTGTGTGTGTATTATTAATGCTGTATAAGATACTAAAAATAGACAAGAAGCACAAACTATCATTTGATTCACCACTTGTCACCTGTTTTTGGGGAATTCCACCCCTCATCAGTAACTCTGGATAAGGGCAAATTGTAAAACAAGACTAGGCTTCTTATACATATATGTATGGTGTTTTGGGTTATATTTTATTACAAGTAGAACCTATTTCCATCTAGGATTTAAAGAATATTTATCATTGGTGCTACCAGTTTTCCTGAATTTTGTTTTAAAGACAAAACATGTAAATATTCCTGTATTTGTAAAGATGTTTGTAACTACATTAACCCTTTTGCCATGGACATCTCTTTCTGCGCATGTCACCAGGTTTTTGTGAGTTACATTCAAAATTTAGTTAAACTACTATTTTTTTCATGGTATACCAATAAATATAGTGTAAAAATGTAGCTAATAATCCATATTTAGATAGAATGTAAATTTAAGTTCTTACCTTTATAAGGCAATATTAAAAAATATGTATAATTTCCCCTAGTGTGAGAATTGTGACATTTACTTTGTAGGCATCCTCTCTTCTCTAATTTACTTACCACCCCTCCAAGAATTACAAAGTATAAGGTAAATTACTCATTATAATATTGTCATTGCTCAGGTAGGGCATAATTTTCATATTTTTCAATCTTATTTGGTTACAGAGCCATGTAATAGACAATCAGACTCCTCTTGCCATGCCAACATGTTACATCCTCTCTTTCAGAAATTGCCACTAGTTCTCTCTCATGTTCAATACTATATTACTTATAACCAACAGAAAACCAAGGTTTTCATCTACCAAATGATGTATTATATTACATTGTTTTCTGTAAAGAGAATTGTAAATTTTGCTTTCAGTTCAAGCTTTATTCCCACTGGAAACACATTGATGAGCTTTGATGAAATTAGAATGGCTCTTGTTGCATAGTTAGAAAACCAGAAAATACTTATGGGATATTGTCTGCATTTTGCAGATTATTATTCTGTGTTCCTTGTGCATTATTTAATTAAATAGAATAATATTTTGAGCATTACTACCACAAGTATCATAAAAGTAGAGTTAAGTGTCATCAACAATCGACAGCAAAATAATATGACCCAGGTAAATATATTTTTCTTGTTTTTCTTGTGTATTATTTATTTATTATTATAAAAGTAATAAAATGTAAAAGTAGGAAACTTTTTATATCAGTTAAAGTTAGATTATGTGAAATAAATAATGATAATAATATTTTTTTCATGAGGTACACTAATGATTAGCTTGTGAGTAATGTAATTTGATAGCATAACATGAGCTGCATGTTCATTGAGTGATCTACAACTTATAATGGCATGAATAGTAGAAAGAGTTCAAAGGGCAATAAAACAATAAAATTTAAGTATAGATAGATGTATACTGTTACAAGTTTAAAGCTAATTAGGATAAAGAAACAATTTCATATTACAAATTAAAGTCATTCAAGAAAAAAAATGGTAAATTAGATTTATTTCAATTTTTTTGGTGGTTACGAAGTCAGTCAAATTGACCAACCTTGTATAAAATTAAAGTAGAGAAAATAACATAAAATATAATGTTTTATTGAAAAAGCATTTGAAATTTAGTTAGGAGGTTTTTTAGAGATAATGCAAATACAATTTGAGATTTTTGAGACAAAGAAAAGTAGTTTTAATCTTATCGTGGAAATTACTTAGCACTGGGTCTAGTATATAGAAATACTATATATATTCATGGACAAATTTTTTAGTAAAAATACTTCATTAAAAATCAGGTTTTTTGTATACAGAAGGCTTATAATGTTTAGAAAATTCTGCCAGATTTTTTGAAGATACACAAAGTGTGTTAAAAGTTATATTATGGAAACTATAATGAGTACAAAATGGTGATGAGGTTGGTTGATTTAACCAACTTTCTTGCATGAGATATAAGGACCTGATCAGAATATTGCCTTCAGTAGAATGTGAAAAAAAATTCATTTTATACAGTGAAAGGCCAGTAAAGGTTTATACCAAAGTGAACCATGTAAGGTTGGTGAAGGTATTATTTCAGAAATGTTACATCTTGTAGGATAATTCAGTAAGAATGCTTACATTTTTTTCTATCATTCAGATACCAACCCCCAACTCTTGCTATTGCTGATCTGTACTGGAGGGCGTGGATCATGTTACTGATACTTGTTGCTCATAATCCATCAAATTTTGGTAAGTTTCACTCTAATTCATGACACTTTCCGAACTTAATGACAAAAAATGCAGGTATTTGTTCAAAAGGCTATATTCAAAAAAAACAGTTTGTAGTTGGTGCTCTTGATTCACTTAAGTAGGTGTTTGCTTATATAATCTTAATAATAATGTCTTAGCCAAGTATTCAAAATGTTATGTAACACCTCCAAAATCGAGGTCCAGCTATTAATATACTGTCACAGCTGAGATATTTAAATATTGTTCTGTAACATCTGCAATATTATAGGTACAACTACCGACATATCAAGACACACGGTAGTGTGCCGTGTGGCCGAAACAACCTGCGGGGCACGCTGTGTGTTATTAACAGGAGTGTTACCAATTTTCCACTTTCTGTTGCTCGGACTGTGGTAATCCAAACTATAGCATATTTTTCATGGATGTGCTCTACTAGACCCTTATTTCACATACCAAATTTCAAGGCAGTCCATTAAGAAATATATGAGATATAAAATCCCAGTTGTTTTTTTTCTTCACACTGAAAGTATGGAAACTTTCTTTGATAGAAAAATTAGATTACCAATTTGTAGCTCAAGTTTTCAAAAGAATCATACGGGTGAATGGTTATTATTTATTGCCAACTTTTAAGCACAAATTTGCTAAATTTTATGAAATTCTCATAATTAAGGAGTGTTTAGCATCACGTGATATTAGTGTAAATAATGATGCTTGATATGGCTGTGCATGCAGGTGATGACAAGAAACTATTATTCTTGTTTCCATGGTGTTACTATAAAGGAAGTTATTAACACTGTTTTAGAGAGGAAGTACTACCACCATATATTTTAAAGAAGCTGGTTGATTTTGTATAGTATAGGACTGTCCCAAATAATAGAATTGTGATCCTAAAGCTAATATTGGTTACTATTGAGTGTTACTCTCTTATTTGCTGTGGTTTGTTGTTGTGTATTGATAAAAGTCACGATATCTTATCAAAAACACCTTAGGTGTGAAAAAAAAGGTGCGACCAAAAAAGTATTGAACATGCAACTTAAAGGAATGAAATCAAATTGGTGGCCAAGTTGGTAGCTACACTAATAGCATTGATAAGAATTTTACAGCAAATATTCATTCATTAGTCAGCGAGGCCATATTTTTTGTTCAACTTTGAGCAGGATAGTGGATAAGACAAAACATGTGGCCTAGTTAAATTTTAGTTCTGGACTACTTCTTTTAATTGTCTTGGGTTTCTACAGAGACTAGAAACTTTAGTTCTCGACTACTTCTTTTAATTGTCTTGGGTTTCTACAGAGACCAGAAGTTTTAGCTGTGGACTACTTTTTTAGTTGTCTTGGGTTTCTACAGAGACCAGAAGTTTTAGCTGTGGACTACTTTTTTAGTTGTCTTGGGTTTCTACAGAGAATAGAAGTTTTAGCTGTGGACTACTTTTTTAGTTGTCTTGGGTTTCTATAGAGACTAGAAGCTTTAGCTGTGGACTACTTTTTTAGTTGTCTTGGGTTTCTATTAAAGGTGTGACAATACAATACAATTTATGTATCTTCACGAAATCTGGCAAGCTTTTAGTGAACATTACAGGCTTTTTGTACAGAAAAAATCAGAATTTCTAATAAACTATTTTTGCTAAAAATTAATGATTCAATAAAGGACGATGAGTATTGAGTACTACATGTTGTCTTCATTTCTTTTATCAAAAACATTACATGTAAAGTAACATAACAAATTAACAATAGCAAAATAGATAGACAGATATTAACTTTCTTTTTATTTTACTTCTCTTGCCAGCTGCCATTTAGTTGCTCAAACCTGAGAATTTGATAAAGCACTGTAAAATGTGAAGTACTTAGATAAGACAATGTTAATAATATAGATACTAAATTACAGACAAGACTGTCAAACTTTGTAACACTACTGTATCTAGATATGTATTGTATTATGGCATCAATATCTAGATACCTATCGACTACTATGATGAGATATGCACCCCTAGTTTCTATAGAGACTAGAAGCTTTAGCTGTGGGCTACTACTCTAGCTGTCTTAGGTTTCTATAGATACTAGGAGCATTAGCTGTGTACTAGTACTTTAATTGTGTTGAGTTTCTATAGATACTAGAAGCTTTAGCTGTGGGCTACTACTCTAGCTGTCTTAGGTTTCTATAGATACTAGGAGC